GCCAACAGTGTTATTCCCAGTGATGATAGATGACTCTTAAAGCTGGATACTAAGAAACAGTGAGAGAAGGATGATTGATGTCTTAGAAGTTTACAGTAGCGTGTTTTGTAAGAAGTTCTGACCAGTTGGTCCTGGTGGTATGGAATGGAGAGACAGACAATAATTTGAGTCAGTCAATGGGCAGAACCTCACATAGTTTATATTTGTGGAGTGATCGCAACAAAGTTTGTTCAATTATCTGTACTGTATTCTATGAAAAGTTATAGCCAAATAACCAGAAAAAGGAAGCACAACTTGTTTAGGTTGATATCAGGCAGCTTTCCTTCATCTGATTGTAGCCAATGAGCATGAGTGTTTAGAGAGCCAATCAGGTGTCATCTTGTTTTGGCAATGAGCCAATCAGATCACAGTAGGATTCAGTTATTGTCATGTATTGAAGCTGAGAGGAGGACATTTGTCGGTGTGTTATGTGATCGCTATCAAGTTGGTTGGGTTTTTGGGGGGTTATTTCATTTAGAGAGCTTGTAAAATGTAATAAAATTAAAGTAATGTTGCAAAGAATTGACTGGTTGCCCAGAAAGTGATGTAAAACAGTATTATTAAGTAAACAAGGCTACAGTTATAAAGAAATTATTAGAAAAATTGGTGGAAACTTAACCAAAGGTGGCATTTCTACTGTACACTTTTCCCAAAACGTTTCCACAATTTTGGCCACTACTGTATATATGTATCTACACACACACACACACACACACACACACACAGCAAAAATACTGAAATTTCCTTTTTTATTATTTTCTTTTTCCTTCAGTTAGTCCAAATCAAAATGCTCGGCCTTGTAAAAAGCCATGCTCTTTAAGGACAACATGTTCCAACTGTACCAGTAGTGGCATGGAATGCATGTGGTGTAGCAGCACAAAACGATGTGTTGACTCAAATGCTTACATCATCTCCTTTCCATATGGCCAGTGTTTGGAGTGGCAAACTACCACTTGTTCTCGTAAGTATTTACGCTGACGTTAATGAAAATATTTAGGGTACTTAATGGAAATAAAAATGCTAAAAGGAATAGTGCAGTGTAGAGTGTTTCTGTTGAGATTTCTGCTAACTAGCAACCAAAAGTTAAAAAAAAAAGAAGCCAAAGCACATGTTCAGACTAATATCAGACTAAAATTAAACCAGTTATTTTTTTTCCTGTATGTTTAGATAATCATGCACAGCTCAATACTTTGTTTCTAGAATGTCTCAAAATCAATAGGATTTTAGTTTTCTTCTTGAAAGCTATGAAAGCTGGTAGAAGTAATAGACAGACTAATGTTATGACACAGTATAAAACTCCCAATGATAATGGTGAATAAAACAATTACCTTAAAAAGACAAGCATCTGAATATGGAATTGAGCTGGAAACTTGCATTCTATAGCAATTTGGTTTGCTACTTAAGTAATTTATTTATCTAATTTTTTTGAAAGAACATTATACTCACAGGTAGGGCTCGATTTGTGACCCAAAATTTCTGTTGCTAAGTGAGACATTTGTTAAGTGAATTTTGCCCCATATTATGACCTTTCTTACCATTTGTCAAGTGAATCACTGCAGTTGTTTAGTAACACAATTGCAAAATGAATCTGGCTTCCCTGTTGATTTGCTCATCAGGAAGTTGCAAAAGGTGACCACATGACCCTGGGACAATTGTCATAAATATGAGTCAGTTGTTAAGTGTGTAAATTTTGATCACATGATCACATAGTCATAAGTTAGGTTTTTTCAGTGCCATTGTAACTTTGAATGGTCACTAAATGAACTGTTGTAAGTTGAGGACTACCTGACTATCAAATATTTTTTGTTTATTTATTTAATAAAATTTATACAGCCACCCAATTTACTCTCGATAATGTTATAAAAATATTTTATTTATTTATTTATTTATTTTTGGACTTATATGCCGCCCTTCTCCCGAAGGACTCAGGGCGGCTCACAGCATTTTAAAACAGTATAAAACATTGTCCCCAATAAAAACCAATTAAAAACAAATATTAGTCGCTGTGTCTTATTAAAATCATTAAAATTGTCCCTATTTAAAATTCACCCTAGGCCAGACCCGCTTGCTGAAAAAGCCATGTCTTGAGGGCGCGGCGGAAAGCTAGGAGATCCGGAATCGTCCGGATCTCGGGGGGTAGTTCATTCCAGAGGGTGGGGGCACCCACAGAGAAGGCCCTCCCCCTGGGGGTCGCCAGCCGACATATCCAAATTATTAAGGAATACTATACTATTCTGCCCTCAGAAACTCTCATTTTGATTAAGAAAGTTCCTATTCCTTTTCTTATTTCAAATAATACATGAGTCACAATCATGTCTCACATTTGTTTTGTTCAGCTTGAAAGTAGGATTCAATACAACAATATCCCAATTTGGTTCACTGTTCATTTGTTTCATTCATCTCATCCATTTGTTTCTCTAATTTTGTCCTTTATTTTCAAGCAGGGCCAGATAGAATTGTGAAGTTTTATATCATCAGTATACATTATTTATTCTGACCTATTAGCAGCCTTATGCTTCTAAAGAAATCTGACATAATCCATAAATTTTGAAACTTTTTTAATGTTGATTGGGAAAACAACAACAAGGGATTAGACCTAACCCTTTAAAGATGTTAGTTTAATTTAGGGTACAAAAATGATAAAAAAAATTCTGTTTTCCATTTTGGTTGCCAGGCAACATTCAGCTCTGTCCTGGAGAATCCAGTGTTGCTAACTTTTATTATGCTGAACATGACCTAGAAATTATTAGCTTCTTGTTGTAGTCAAATATTCCTAAAAGGATTTGGACAAATTGGCAGAACTCCAGAAAATTGTTAACAAATTTGCTTCCATCCCTCTGTCCAGAATTTATATGGACAGGGTTTTTTTAACCATTTTTTTATTATTAGCCCATTTCCATTGTAGAAAAATTGAAACTGATAATGGAAATTGGCAAATGATGTGAAGCTTCTGGAATTACTAAATAGCTTGTATATTTGCTCTGGTCTAATCAGTCCTGAGCAGCTGATGCCACTAAGTGTAAATATTGTTTGTGCATGTTTTGAAAAGTACCTCTTTCCTGTTTGATTTAATGAATTAAACTTGGATGTTTTAGGTCTACTCTTATTTCCCTGTAGAAGAGTTTTGAATTCAGCTTTTGCAAATTTCAGGATTTAATATTTGTTTTCTTGATAGCAATCCTATCCAGGCTACCCTTTTTTTGTTGCATTTAAAGAAAAGACAGCTGAAGAACTCTGTTGAATTTAGTTGTCATTTTAGACACAGCTACAAAGATATATATTAAATAAATCTAATAGGGTTTATTACATCAATTCAATAACATACAGAAAGAATTGTATTTTAAATTGTATTTCTGCCTAGCCAGTAAAAAAACTAAAATTCCACATTCCAGCCTTGCCCATTTAATAAAGGTGATCCTCTAGAACGGAGAGCAGTAGACACTGGAGACATCTCCATTGCTGTAAATCTTTGAAATTTTTGTGATCTCACCTTGAGCACTGCACATGAGTTTGGCAGCTATTATGCAAAAAGTTGGTCAATTTTTCATGAGATCTTGCAGAGTTTTGCTTCATGCCCACAGAATTTGATGAAATTTTAATAGTTGCTTCAAATTCTTTTACCATTTTAATTAAGATTTAACTGTGGGAAACAGTTGAGGGCCTAGTATTTATTGGAGACTGAGTTGCCAGCTTCTGAGCTAGAGTTTGCTTCCATTCAATTTGAACAATCTGACAGCAAAAAGTTTATGCATGCGTCTTTTTAACCCTGCTGGCAGGAAATCTCAAGTCATGGTCATGATGTCATGCTTAATGACTGGGTGACTTGCTTAATGACTGTACCCATAACTAACATTTAAGTTGGGCTTGGTCACATATTTCACATTATGATTGTATATTTTTCAATGGAGTTGTTGGTTGCAGTTGTGGTTGCTAAGTGAGGACTACCTGTATTCAAAATACAGCTTTATATAGCTTAAGCAGGGCTTTTTTTCAGCCGGAACGCGGCGGAACCGCGTTCCGGCACCTTTTTCCGGGCCGGCCGCACCGGAAATAGCCCCTCCCAAATTTTACTTGCATTCCTGTTCTCTAAAGGGGCGGTCCTAGGGTTTGATGAGGGCGTGGCCAGGTTTGAGTTCCGCCACCTTTTCTCCGAGAAAAAAAGCCCTGAGCTTAAGTATTATAAAAGAAAAAAAAATTGATTACTACAAAATTATATTCTTTAGTTCTATTTTTGCCAAGAATAAATATTGGTTTATCAGTTATTTTTCAAATGCATTTAATTAATAGTAAGATGTTGCCATTCTACCCTATATTAGTTTGTGCTATAATTTGCGGCTGCTGTTCTGGAGGGTATTTTGTTTTCTTGATGTCACTAATGGCATTGCAAGAACAATTCTGGGTCAGCAACCATAATTTTAATTTAGAAATGTACTTGAATAAAATTTTAAGAGACATGGACTGTCTGCTCCATATTATGAAATTATTTGTGCAATGTCTCAAGACATCAGAGAGAGAGAACAAATTGAACAAACTAAGTAGAAACAAAAGCCTATGTAAATGTTACCATTTAGCTCTTTTCACTGAATGTGTAGCATTTTCTGCTACACAGTGACAAACCATTTTAAGAAATCCTACCAAGAAAATTGCAGGGATTTATACTTCTATAGCCATAGACACATACACTAGCTAGATATGATGGTGGTAATAAAATTAATTGTATCAATCTAATTTCTTAAAATTAAAAATTGAGACTTAAAAGTTCTAAATTGGCTTACTCAGACTCAGCTTTTACTGATTTTTTTTTTTATCTTGTATATTTACAGCTCAAAACTGTTCAGGGTTGAGGACTTGCAGTCAATGTCTGGAACATCCAGGATGTGGGTGGTGCAATGATCCCAGCAATACAGGAAAAGGCCATTGTGTAGAAGGCTCGGCAAGGGGGCCAGTGAAGTTCAGTGGGATGCATTCTACTGAAATAGTTATTGACAACAACCTTTGTGCTAAAGAAAAAAATTACGAATGGTCTTTTATCCAATGCCCAGGTATGGTGAATTTGTTATTGTTGTTAGCACTTTGATCAGTGAAATTATGGAAGATTAATTTCAAAAGTCGGATAAATTTTGGATTGAGATATGGGAAACATAGTTTGTTGGTTAGTTTATTAGTATATTTTTAAAGTTTTTCAAATATAGATCCTGATCCATAAAATGTTCCTCAGTTATTCTTGTTATCTACTTTTAAAAATGATGTCAAATTTCAAGTTTGTTAAATCATACTGAACATATATGCTATTATGTTACGAAAAGTGAGTCAAAAAGTTATCTTTTTTGATACTCCTCTTCAAGTGTTGTTTTGATTCAGACAGAAATAGTGTAAACATGTTGTTGTTTTTTAAGGTTTTTTTATGACTAAAGCTAGGACATAAATATTCTGTATGGAATTTTCTTTGAATACCAGGCTAGTAATACATATGCATAGAAATTTTAGCACTTTATATATTGATAAATTTATAGTAAGAACAAAACTTATATAAATCAGACCATCTTTGGAGGCTAAGCATTCTGGGAAAATTCAAAATGTTCCACCATGCTAATTTAGTCATTCTAGAGATTATCTGGCAGTTTTCCAAAATAAAGAGGAATAGAGTTTTGGTGTTCAGATATGTAACAGATACTACATTTAGCTGAACTCTTAAGAGAGTAAGCATTTGATTACAATTCAGTTTCGCTATAGCATCTGGGATAGTAAGTACAGTGAACATTTAATTCAATTATTTATTTATTTTTAAGGTAACATGTACTCTTTTTAAAAAAACATTTAGATTGCTATCAAAGCAACCACATATAATATAAATCAATTAAGACCACAATTTATTTTTTAAAAAAGCAAATGAAATTGTCATTTAAAACAGGCACGTATCCTATAGGCCTAAGACCACATATGGGTTTCGGTGTTACATGAAAAACCATCTACAAGAAAATAGTTCAGATCAGCCTCACTTAATACGTTTTATGGAACAGGTAGTGGAAAAAATGTGTCGGAAAAAGCAGGGAAAAGCCATTTCAGAAACAGAATGAAGTAGTGGTCTTGTCAGCCTTTCCATTTGGGTCTGCTTAACTGTTCCTTTAGTCCCAATTGTGGTCCTCAACTTAAATAAAAATAATAATGATAATTATTCATGCTTAAATTCCACCAATAAAAATACATATCGCTAATGTTTCCAAAGGCTGACAGAAATAAATGTGCTAAAGTAATAACTATTATAGCTTAGATTATGTACAACATGCAGCAGCATCTATTACTATGTCTTTTGTTAAACAATGATATTAAGTATTGACTATTAACACAAAAATAGGCAAAATGAAAAAAGGGCATTTATTGATAGCAGTAGAGTACTTCTTGCTGTTAAAAAACAATTCAAATTTGGCTACTGTTATGATTGTAATAGTGGATTATTTTTAATAACCTAACAACATTTTTTTAAACACACACACATACCTATACAAAGAATTAGTGTCAAAAGGATTGACAATCAGAAGGACAAAAGTGAACATATTTCAAACACTTTCAGGTCTTATGCAAGATCTTTATCTTCATCCAGATTGGTAGGTTTATATTAATGGTTACTAGCAATGCTATTTAAAATTATATGTTGTTGATTAATTAGTTTAATTTAACTTTGTTCAATTAATGCTGAATGTTAAAGACTCCACAGTTAGCTGTTCTCAAATTGTGACCATTAATTAAATTACACAGCAATCTTTAGTTAATCAGAATTATAGGAAGTAATTCAATAAAAATAATCAAATATAGAATCAAAACAGTTTAGTTGTTCTCCACGTTAAGGAAATGAATGTAACGTATAAAATCAATGAGACTAATCACATTAACCTCTTTTTATTATACTATCATTGAAATATAATTTGTTTTATAGGTGAAGCATAAAGTATAATGAAAATTTCTTATTGAATTTACCTATTTCAACTGTACATAGAAATTTAGTAAAACATAATCACTAAAAAACAAGCAATTAGTATTTAAAGAAATACTGATAAATATTAGGTAGAAGTTCTTTCTAATTGAAACTAGAACATCTATGTGACAAAAGCAAGAGAGAGATAATGTTATCACAGTTATATGTTCAATGGGATTATTATTTTGAATTTTCAAATATTTTAATCTGGCATGAACTTAATTGATGCCATAGAAATCAATCAATCATATAAAAACATCATGTAATAACTCATAGTTTGATTATCAGTGTAACTAGTGCTTAACATATTAGTTTAAATTAAATTCACTTAATTCATTGGGTTGAAAAATTAGTGGAAACTACCAGGAATTGATCATACCCTTATTTGCATAGATTTACATGCATAGTTGTACATTTTCAATGAATTGAGAAACATTTGAAATCAATAGTTACATTTTCAACTTAAAACAGAAAGCCAGTTATTGTTATCAAATCAAATCAATTGATGTTATCCTTATCAATTCAGTCATTTGGAACAGCTCTGTACATGTGTTTTTAGAAAACATTAATTTGGTTTTCTTAATTGATATGAATCATTCAACTGGATCAAAGCTAATTTACTTATTCTTTAGTACCATGCCTTAGGTTTTATTTCTTGTCATGCATCTATAAAAAAGATTTGTGGGTAATAAATTATATACTTATCTCTAAAATAGCTCACTGGATATAAGCAATATACAAAATTGCGGTACTTACTTAAGCTCATCAGTGCATCTGTGGCTAAATGTCAAAATATACTTGGGAATTCAATTTTGTATGAAGACTCAAAGTATTTTACCAGTGACACACATTATAAAGAATGTTTTCTTCTATCAGCATAATAATTGGCATTTATATAATAGCTCATGTTGTGTTGTCACATTAATGATTCAAAAACTGGTCCTGTCTACATATTCTTATTAGTTGCAGAGCACCTTTTCCTATAGTTCGCACAGTCCTAATACATCGTATTGCCTAATAACACATCTCCAAAAATCTATAGCTATCAGCAATATAGCCATAATCAAAAACTCAGGAAATTGGTAACTTGATGTCAAAATCAAAGAATAACTTGATGTCAAAATCAAAGTATTGATTTTTGAAACTTTTTTGAGTTTCCCTCACAGTATGAGGAATTAAAAGTGATCTCTTAAAATGTCAGAGAGATGAAAAGGCAGTTGACTGTGAAGTGAGATTGTTTGAAGGAAAGGCCTTGACTGGCAGATGCAAGCAATGTTTAGGTTTGTACATCAGCACAACCTTGGTATAACACTTATTTTGCTTTATGCTGGCCACAGAGTGTGAAAAAGAAACAGAAACATATTCATAGCTATCAAAAGAGAAGCAGCAGTAAGCAGAGATGCTATATTAGTACAGGGCATTGTGGATACCAAGGAATAATGATCCATGTAAGTTAACAACAGGGTAATTAGTAATAAGGGCACTCAAGAGAGGCTAAGAGGTGAAGGTTGACTTTCATGAATATTAAGTGCTAAATCAGTTCAGTTCAGAATGCTATGGTGGGATATAATGGTTTTTCCTAGGATAAGAAACATGATATTGCTTGTGCAGTTTTTGAACAAGTATAGCAGGACCAGGCAGCTGGCTAATGAGTACTTGTGAAAGAGATTTGCATATTTAATCTACTACAGATTTCACCAGGCACTGTACCACCATAGGCAAAGAAAGGAATCTGGGTTACTGGACACTGCTTCTGCTATAGGAAGAAATGGACTGTTTTTCCATGGGTTGTTTGACAATTGCCTCTTTCTATGGATCTCCTTCAGTCACTTCCTTAATATATTCTGCTAATTCCTGGGGATATTTGGAGTACAAAGGCCAGCCCTTGATCTGAAGGTGTTATATGGCCAACAGCTATGTTCTTTTATAGCAGAGCTGCCTCATTACATCTTCTCTCTGTAACTGGATTGCAATATATATTTTTCTCTGCATTGCCATCATTGTAGCAAAGGAACAGGATCCAAGGTTCCTCATAAACGAAATTAGATTGCACATAGGCAAGTAATATATCTAAGATATATTCTTTATATTCTTATATTCTTCTCCATCAACTACTCTAAATTTATATTTATTCAGTTTACTAAATTCATTTGTTGATTAAAAATGCTAATCACAGTGTTCTGTACTTTTTAAGAATGACTGTTCATTTTTTTGTCTTTTCCATATATATGTACACATTTATTTATTTTATTTTAATTGCAGCTTGCCAATGTAATGGACACAGCAACTGCATTAATGGCAATGTATGTGACCAGTGCAAAAATCTAACTACAGGAAAACAGTGTGAAACATGCATGCCCGGTTATTATGGAGATCCAACAAATGGAGGACAGTGCACAGGTAATATTGAGGAGTTTTT